ACAGTCTAATACTTACTAAAAATTCTGTTATATTACCGGATATATATTTTTACTAAAATAAAAAGTCCAAAAAAAGTAGTTTGAAAAAAAAAATTCTGTCATAAAGTTTGTCAATAATTGATTTTGTAAATAACCATTTCTCTTAGAATGAAGGAGGAGGAATAATTGTTTCTCTTAGATATAAATAATTGCAAATACGTGAAAATTTGAAAATTTGCTGTTTAGAAATGAGTCGTGTTTGGAGGATTTTATCTATAGCGCAGAGAAATACACAGGTGTTCATGCTGTATTTCCTAACCATAAACTACCAAAATGCTAAACCTAATATTTTTCACTTTTTTTTTCCTAAATTAATGCAAAATAAGGAAAAAAATTATGAAAAATATTTTTAATAAAGGTTCTGTGCCAAAGGGCTAACATTCATACGTCACAATTTTGCTCTCTCAATACTCATAAAATATGTCTTGACACTCTTAACATTCATAAAATACATTTTAACCATTCATAATAATACATTACATTTTTGCTGTAAAAAGGCATTTTAACATTCATAAAGCGCATTTTCCATTTCGTAGCATTCATAAAGCAATTTTTAGCGCTTTTAACATTGATAAAACTCATTTTCACATTCTTATTATTCATAAAAATCATCTTGGCATGTTTTATGTTCATGTCAACACCAATCATGCTTTATATAAAATATATATGCTCATTTTGAAAACATATTTTAACATTCTCAACATTTATAAAACACATTTTCAAATTTAAACATTATATAATTTTGTCACACAATTAAAATTCTTACAAAGCATTCTTGGAAGTCTAAAAATTTATAAGACGCGTGTAAATATTCTTAAAATTCATAAAACACATTTTCCCACAATAAGTATTCCTAAGACACATTTTTACATTCTTAATGCGCTTTGCCTGGTCTGTAAAAACAGACATTTGGGGGAACGAATCGCTTACACAGAAGTTCAAACTTTTAAATGCATTTTTCTTCAAAAAGGACGGAAATAAAAAAAGGTAAACACATCGAAAATTCCAAAAAAATACGTAAATTGAAAAGATAAACGTCTTAAAATTTTTTAAATGGAGACCAATAACTACACTATATGGAGAGTATTTTGCGAATTTTTTAATGTAGACAGAACATGGTGGCTCAGAGAATAGAGCACACGGCTCTCAAAGATGTAACCCATGTTCGAATTCCAGCGGTAGGTGGGTGATACAAATTCTGCTCCAGGCTCGCACTGAACGCAGTGCTTATGCAAAATAACCTCAATGGTCGATGGATCATGGTTTAGAATGCCCTTGCCGTCAGGCTAACCGAAGGAGGTTTTGATGGTTTTCCTCTCCATGTAACGCAAGTGCGGGTTAGTTCCATCAGAAAAGTCCTTCTCGAAGGCAAGTTTGTCCCAATACTTAATCCTTGAGCAGTTCCCTTTTCTTTTGGATTAGGTTCAAAATTACAAGACCACTGAGTTGAACATTGATAATCGTGAACTAAGAATAGGGTCAGCTATTCTGCACCGGTTATAAAATAAATTTTGTTATAGAAAGAAGTTCACTGTAAGAAAACTACGCTGTAGCAGGACTCTAGATTCAGTTAGTTAATAATTCATAAAGCAAATTATGCACTACTGCAATCACTATTTCCAATAATACTACTACAATATGCTATAAAATTATTTTTTCGAAGATTTGGGATATAGTGAACCATCATATAAGGTGGACTGGATCGTCCGTAGACCGTTCGCTATAACGGGGTCCGACTGTATATCCTCAAATATTTTCTGTATCAACTAACTTTGAAATGAATTCAGTATATTTATTTCTTCCCTCTCCTCCTCCAGTTCACACATATTCGTCTGAAGTTAGCGTCATTCAGAAATTGCGACAAAAAGTAAAACTTTGACCTGAATTCGGGAGAATTATGTGAAATGTCTGTATATATCTCAGTATCCATACATCTACTCCCGACAAAGTGTTTGATCTATAATTATTCAGGAAAAATAAAAATATCTCTGCTCCACTTTCCCTATATATACCTCTCTTGTTTTTTTTTTAACTTTCTATCTCAAAAGCTATTCATATTTCCCAATCATATCAATTCAAATCAGTTAATAATAAGAATTAAAATTAAAAAATCAAAAAATATTGAATGAAAAGAGCTATATAGTTTTTTTTTAAAAAAAAATGGTTTAAATTTCAAAAACTATGAAAGAATAATAACAGTATCTTAAAAGATTTTTTTTAGATTGGGTTGGGTTACTATGATGTAGAATTTTAATTAAGCATATTTTTCACATTTTTCTTTATTATTGTGTATTAATGTAGTTCAAAATGAGTGATATTATATTTAGTATTTTTATAATTCATGGTAATGTAATACATTCTGAGATACCGGTGTCTTTTTCTAGGTTAAAAACTAAAGCTCCCGAACAGGGCTCACTTCCAAACAAAAGCCTTTTGAAATTTGCATTTATTTTCAGTTATCTAGATCTGAGAAAAACAGGTTATTCATCATTTAAATTTCTTTATTTTTGAGTACGAATGAGAAAAAAAAAATTTTTTAACTACTTTTTTTCTTTTGGATTTTATATTTTAGTACAAATACAATTCCGATATTCTTTAGTAATTATTAAACTGCTTTTTATAACTAATTGCTTGTAATTGGAGCAGCAGAAAAATAAAAATATAAAAGTGATATCCGTGTCCCTTCTGCGTTAAATGGTTAAATAATTTATATGAATATAAATTAAATTTAGAAATATGTGGACTATAAGCGTATAAATTTATGCGTGCTCTAATTAAAGAAATATTCCAACTAAACTATAAAAGATTAGGTATAAATTATTAGAACTTTGGATGCATCATCTGTAAAATCAATTTAAACGCAAAATTCAATTTTTACAGTAAAATATTATGTCGTAATTTTTTACTGTAAAATTTATATAATTAGAGTTTCATTTTCGGCAATTATTAGCGGTATTAACAGCTTTTCATCCCTTCAGTGGATCGATAAAATCAGTACCAAGCCTGCTTGAGGACTAAACACTGGGGGTTTCCACGTTCAGCTGACCACCAATCATAACATCTGCTCTTGCACCTCAGTGCCCAAGGTCAAGAAAACAGAAAATAAGTCCATGGGCTGTCTTGCCACTGAGTTTAGTGTTTAGTTTATTATTTGTATTATTGTAAAAATTACTGTACATTAGATTTTTTTTCTGTAATATGTTCCGGCAAAAATAGATTTTGCGGTAAAAAATACCGGTACACGGAGTGCTGGTACTTTTTACCGTAATTTGATGCGGAAATTTTTTACAGTGTATATGTTTTTAATAAATGAAAAATTCTACAATTATTTTCGGAAAATTTTAATGTATTACAGTTAAAAGAATGAAAATAAAAAAAATTTTAAATGATAATTATTAAAAAATAAAATCTAAATTAATATTGATTTTTAAATAAAATTAATATTATCAAATGTATAATTATATTTATAAATTTTTTATTAAATTAATATGACGTATTATAAAATTTCATGAAGTCTAATTTATTATTTTTATGAAAAAGATTATCTTTTAAAATATTATTATAAAGCTATTATTATTAAAAGGAAACTATTTTTGTTAAAATTAAATTATCATTATTAAGTTAAATTCCATTTTAAATTATTAATTCTTGTTGATAAGCTGTGTTGAAATTGAATTAAAATTACATAACTGAAAGTATAAGTCATATAACTTTTAAGTTAAAAATATTCTAACATCTAAGTTCTAAAAGTGCACATTAATAAAAAAGAAGAAAGAAACTTTAAATTTTCAAAGAAATGTTTTTAATTCTTGTCTGAAATGCTTATAAATCCCTTCTTATTTGAAAAAATTAAATTTACAACTTGGTATTATTATTTAAATTTTTATTGATTACAAAATAATATTAAAAACAATTAATGAAAAAAAATTTCGACTTAAAAAAGCTGTTTTTCTATTTATCTATTAATTTTGAAAAATGATAATTTTCTGATATATCCCGGTTTATTAAATAAAAACTTACTTTAAGATAAAAAAAAAAAAAACAGTTACTTATTCCGTAAAATATTTAAAAAAAAATTTTTTTTTAATAAAAAGGTAGTATACTGATTCTGCAGAAGAACAGCGAGATTTGTGGTATTTATTTTGCATAATTTTTTTTAAAGGGGGCTACTCGTCGACATCGAAAAGTAGGTCTTTAATTTTATAAAATAAAATTTAAAAGCAGGCAACTTATTCCTAAAACAAAGTGAAGAATAGGCTACTAATTCTGTAATATAACATTAAAAAGCGGACAATTTATTCTGTAAAATGAAATGAAAGATGCGCTACCACTTTCTTAGAACAATAATAAAGAGTAGACAACTTATTCCAAAATCAAAATAAAAAATGGGTTACTAATTCTTTAAAATAATATTTAGGAAAAGGGCAACTTATTCCGAAAACAAAATGAAGAATTGGTTACTAATTCGTTAAAATAACATTTAAAAAAGGACAATTCCGTATAACAAAATGAAGAGAGGCTACCAATTTCTTAAAATAATCTCGAAAATCTGCCGTTTTTTTTCTTCTTCATGAAACAAGATGAAAAATGGTCTAATAATTCTTTAAAATAACGTTAAAAAGTGAACAACTTTTTCCGTAAAACAAAATAAAATTTACGCTGATATTACTTTAAATAACAGAAAGAGGTTACTGATAAAAAGGGGCTACCTATTCCTTAAAATAACCCTAAAAATCGAAAACATTTTTCGTAAAACAAAATGAAAAATGGTTTAATTGTTCTTTAAAATAACATTAAAAGGTGGACAGCTTATTCTTTAAAATAAAATGAAAAATGGGCAAGAGTGGGACATTATTGTGTAAAATAAAATTGACCACACACACACATACCACAAAATTAAGTAGAAAAGTGAGGGAATTATTCAGTGAAAAATGGAATTAATTAAAATGATGGCAACTTACCCCCGTCCAACTATGAGCCTTAGAGCATCTAAATTCCCATAATAAGCTGCCCAAAGCGTGGGAGTCATTCCATCCTCATCCGGAGCATTGCAATCTTTTCTCGTCGCATCTCTCAACAAATCCAAAAATCCGTCCCGAGCAGCCCTGTGAAATCTATCCTTGTCCAATCCGGACATTTTGCACAACTATCCTTTTTAATTATCACTTCATCCGAAAAGATCGTTTGTTTTTATTTGTATTAATCCACAGACGATCCTGTAAATTGAGCGTGCATCCAATGAGAAGTGGAATATGCCTACACCGGTCTACATGTCGCGTGTTTGTGGAACAAACTGAGTTGAAAGTTAGGGAACAACTTCATTCAAAGATCGAGCGCTATTCAGGGTTACCTGCTGCGTCTAAAAAAAGTTTCTTTTTTCACCTGAGCAGCGCCAAGGGAAGCGCCAAATGAAAACGATTCTCTGAAATATTTTACTATCTTCAATCGGGAATAAAAGCAGCCAAATGTTTTAACAGATACTTCCTATTATTTTCCGTTTTTTAGGGATAGCATTTCAGACATTTTGTGGAGTATCGTAGGCTGGAGTTATTTTGAAATAATCGGAAATAGATGCATTTTTTTAAGTAGTCCGTCTTAAGAGGGAATTTTGGATTTTTTAAAANAAAAAAAAAAAAAAAAAAAAAAAAAAAAAAAAAAAAAGTATTTTAAACTATAGGTTTTAATACATTTTCGTGATTTATTGTATTATATTAACAGTACATATTGCAAACCTTGAGCAATATTACATGATTTTTCACTCCACTTACCTTTGATTATACAGTGAGCCACCAAAAAGGATATCATCCTGAATAACTTTTATTCTAATGATCGCATTTTGAAGTTCTAAAAAAAATCTATATTAATGGTTTAAAATGTTGACGTTAATAATGCTTAATTATTAAAGAAAACTGTTACTTAATATAATCAGACCAAAACTGTATTTTCTCTGAATAATTTTTGATTTTTTTTTAACGGATTTGGATTTTTGATCAATTAAATCGGTATTACCGCAATCTGAAAAACAAGATCCCAATAGTTTCGACAAGAGATTGGTCGAAAGTTTAGACCTCTTAATGTTATTTTAACTTCTCGAGTACATTTTGGGGAACTATATAAGCGAATCAAAATCTTTTTGTACAAAATTATAAAATTCGTTTATCTACAGATAACTTAAAGGTAATCCAAAGATAAGTGATTTTTAATAATTATTATTTCTTTTTAATCATTTTATTTAAGGAATTTTAAATTGTAATTGTTAATAAAATTGTTGAGTTGAAAGTTAAACAAATTTTTACATCATTTTTATGCCAAAATACGATTTCGTTTAACATTGGTCGAAATGGTTCTGAGTTTCGTATTTATAAATTTCTATTTCTCAAGAACTATTCGTCCGATTTCGCCCAAAGTTTATATTTTGTTTAAATGTGTAATTTTTTCGGTTGTTATTAAATAAAAAAATAACAATTAATGTATAATTATTAGAAACTATTTTTTACTTGGAATTATATTTTGATATATAAATATATTAACAGAGGGGAAAAAAAATTTTGATTCGCTTAAAAAGTTCTAGAGATACAGTGAAATTGATATTAAGGTGTTGAAATTTTTGACTGCTCTACTAATTATTGAGACTTTATTTTCCAGAATGCAGCTCTCTTCTAATCCTTGATAGAATCGAAATTTTTTAAAGAGTCAAGTTCATTCAGAGAAAATACACTTTTATATCAATTTCGTTACTTAATTGAGAGTTAACACTAATTAATTAGTGTATTTGAAGTTAACCCATTGAACTTTAATCATTGATTTTTAGAAAGTAAAATTCCGATACTAAAAACAAAAGTTGTTCTAGATTATGGTAATTTTTTGTTTATTCTCTTTATTAGAAGATGTAAATTATAGTGATTACAAAAATAGTAATAGTAAGGGGTTAATTATAAATAATGACACACATTTTTTCAATATTTTGACTTCCTCCTCCCCTTTGTCACAAAGTGTCAAATTTCACTATGCCCTCAATCCCTCGTGTCATACTTCAACCTATGTTAAATAAACATATTAAATAAACATATTATAGAAACAAAACACCCATGCTGCAGAACATGTTTCAAATTATGCATTTCAAGAAGTTCCCAAGCATAACAGTAATTGTGAACTTATTTTGACGGAAAAAATATTCAATTTGCTGATCTTAAATATTTTTATTTTATGCAAAATACAGATATCACATTTCTGGTTGCCCCTACCTCCTCTTTGTCAAAAACTCTCACAATTTCAATAACTCCTTTCCAAGCGAGACATTGTTTATGAGCAACCCCTAAATGTGTCATTAAATATTTTCACAATAAGTTTTTCTATGCTTATTTTTTTAGTTTCGATTTTTTTTTTCTTACATAACATAATGTAACTTGTTAACTCTATGACGCTATTTTTTGTTCCTAACGTAAAAGCTCAATATAACAGAAGACTACTGCAACACATATCCAAGTCACAGGCAAAGTGCAAATGCTAAAAACTAAACGACGAGAATACGCTAATGATAGAATATGCTAACGATAGGAATAAATATCGATAATATAAACGATACCAAAATCATATGTTTATAACAATTTAAAAATTACTAGCCAACCAATGTTGCGACAAAAAAAAAATTCACGGAAATAAATTCTTTTTTCTGTTCAAATGAACATTATTTTTATTCAAAAAAGCTCTTCCGCTTTTTTAAAAAGAAAAAAGAAATCCCGCAATTCACTTCAAAAGAATGCTCCTTTTGTTGATCAAATATCTATTAAGGCCTTTATTTCCTTACTTTCCATGACAACTTACTATTAAAATCTGCATTCTTTGTTATCAATTGCACTTTATTTCAATTGATTCTTGCTAAAACTTATTATGATTTGGAAACCTTTAATTCAATCATTTATGTCGTAGAAATGTTTACCGTTCGTAAAGTACAAAGAGCTACGTAATTCAGTCTACTATAATAATGAATATTTGTATTTGCTGTTACATTTGCTTTGTGTATATTGTAATGTTGCTATACGTATATTGCAATATTTCTATATGTATGCTGTAATATTGCTAGATATATAGTGTAATATTGCTATATTGTAATATTGCTATATGTATATCGTAATATTTCTGTATGCATATTGCAATATTTTTATACGTATATTGTATTATTGCTATATGTATATTGTAATATTGCTATATGTATATTGTAATATTTTTGTTTGCATTTGCTTGTATACCACAAACTCACTTAAAAATTAATTTCATCTGCTTTTATGAATTTTATAACCTTTGTTGAACAGTCGATCCGATTTTGAGTTTATGATTATCAATGTTCAACTCCATAGCCTTGTAATTTTGAACAGAATCCCAAAGACAAAAAAAAAACTCCTTGTTCGAGTATTCGAAGAAATTCTCCTTCTTGGAGGACTTTTTTGATGGTACTAACCCGGATTTGCGTTGCATGGCGAAGAAAACCACGAAATCCTCTCACGGTTAGCAGGACAGGGGGATTCTAACCCATAATATATTAATGAGGATATTCTTAAGTCAGCACTGTAGTCAGTCCGAGCCCGGTGCAGAATTCGTATTCAGCCTTCGCTGGGATTCAAATCAGATTCACCTCATTGGAAGGCCAACGCTCTATCCCCTGATCTTCAGTAGCTCCAATTTTAAGAATTTGTTTTCATAGCCATTGTTGAATAGCCGACCTAATTTTGAGCGTACAACTATTGATGTTCGACTCTGTAGTCTTGTAATTTTGAGCCCAACCCAGAAGACAAGGGAACAGCTGAATCAAGCGTTGGAACAAACTACCTTCGTGTAGGACTTTTTGGTGAACTAACCTGCATTTGCGTTACACGGAGCTAAAAACCACGAAAACACCCAGGGTTATCACGATGGCAAGGGGATTCTAACCCATGATCCGTCTACCACTAAGGATGTTTTTAAGCCAGTACTGTGGTTGGTGCGAGTTGGATGCAGAATTAGTATTGTCCCATCATTACTGGGATTCGAACCTGGATCACCAAATTTTGACGTGAATGATCTGTTCCCTGAGCCACTACTCCTCTGCTTTTATGAATTGTGGCTATAACTGACTATCACTGCATTTTGAATATTAATTTGAAATGTCTTAAAATCATTTGGAAAATTTCGAAAAAAACAAAAACAAATTCTTCCCTGGCCAGATTTTAAATAACCTTTACCTTTGACGTTTAAAAATAGATTTACGTGTGGCAAAATTCATTTAGGAAATGTTTTAACTACATTTAAAGGTCAAATAAATGGCTATAAGAATTTTAAATGATTATTTCATTTCCGTTTCATGAGTGAACAATTTTTTTTATCGTCATTAGTTTAATAGTTCAATGAGATGTCATTTAACCAAAATAAAAATAAAGAATTTAGCATCATCTCTCAAATTCTAATCTAATAACACATTCGGTGAATCGTAATAAAATGCAAATGAGTTCAATTAATCGATGGCTTTCCGATGACCCGAGGAAAGAGAAAAGAAAAAAAAAAGTAATTCTGAGAAATAGTTAGGACGCGACATCATTTCCCGAAACTCTTCAGACATTATCATTTTGTTAGGAATATTAATTATATATCTATGTTTAATTTTTAATAGATTTATTTTTAGTTCTTTGATCGGTAAACAAATTACAATTTTTTTAAGGGAGAACATCTTTGTAAAGTTTGGAAAAATTCAGTTTTATTATTTTTTTACGTACCTCAACAGTGTTCAAATTGAAGAACATTTTCCTAAAGTGTGTTTAAAATTTAAACTTATATTCTTCTAATCAGTATAAGCATGTAACATGTAATGAGATAACATGTAATGAGGCATGTCATAACCTGTCATAAACATGTAATGAGATTTAACCCATATCCTTCTAATGAGTAGAAACTCATAAACATACAATGAGAATAAACCCTTATTTTTCTAATGAGTACCTATAACCTAATAAACATGCAATGAGATTTAACCCATATTCTTCTAATGAGTATAAACACTTAACATATAATGAGATTAAAACCATATTCTTCTAAAAAGTATAAACTCATAAATATGTAATGAGATTAAGCCTATATTCTTCTAATGAGTATAAACTTCTATTCCTTCAGGAAATGAATTTAAACTTATTATCATGCAATGAGTTTGAAATCTTATTTATGCAAGGATCTGATATAATGAGTCAGTTATATAAAGAGTTTAAACTGGTAATCATGTAATGAGATGAAACCCATACTCATCTTATGAGTTATGTAAGAGTTTGAACTAACATTCATGGAATGAACTTGAGCTCATTCATGTAATGGATTTGAAC